TGCCTCTTCCTGGTGGACCGCTGAGGATCAGCGACAACCAACCCGATTGGGATTGGTCACGCAGGTAATCCCTTCACTCTAGCAAGACTTAACGACCTCCGTTGATCATCATCAGTCTGCTCATCGACCACCGTTCATCATTGACTGTGGACGCTGATACCGCGCCGTCTTTCATCGACGATTGGCTTTTTCGGCTCGTCAAACGCACCAACTGATTATCGACTTTTTTCTTTTCTGTCATCGATTATCTCACCGACGGACGATTGCCGAGCTACATCGACCGACTCGTTTTTCTGTTTTTGCTTCTTTCAAAGACAACCTGGCGACGGCTCTAAGCTAGGTCAGTATCGCTATGTTTTTTTCTGGTTTTTTCCCTGCAGTATTTGGGCAGGATTTTTGATAGAAGATTGATCCTTGCTCGCGTTAGGCCTGATAGTTGGTGCATCGACCCGGACAACTTCTTGATTCTGGCGAGGAATTGTCCAGATCACTTTTCGAACCGATCCTCGCGAGGCAGTGAAAGGTCAGTATCCCTATTTTTTCCTTTTTTTTCCCTGCAGTATCCACCCCATCCCTTCCACATCGAATCGTTTTTTTTTCATTTCTAAGTCATTTTTTTTGTGTTTACATATGCTCAGATACTTGCGACGGACGATAGCTGTCGTTTCTCATTGGAATTTTTTTGTCTTTACATTCTCTTCAGATACTCGCGACGGACGATAGCTGAGTCCGCTACTTCGACACATATCCTTTATTTGGCAATTACATCGCATAGGAACTCGCGACAGTCGATAGCCGCACTACTTCGACCGATCCTACTTGATCGCTGTTGCACCTTGCTGTCCGGACAGCTTCCTGACTGGGGTGAGTTTTGATAACATCATCCTTTTCTCTGTAGTGTTTGAGTAGGATCCATATTGATTTTGAGATCTCTCCTGGCCTGCGTTTGCTTCAAGTAGCTCAGACAGGACTTAAACATACTTGGACAACAGTCCAATTTCTGTTTGCCATGTCTGAAGAACCCACTTGGGTTGTTCGCCTTTTTCTTTTCTCATGTGAATAGTACTTGTTTCTTTTTCAGGCAGATTTGCACTGGTGCATTTCTCATTCACATTTTTGTACATTTTTTGTTGTTGTTGTAAATGGCCAATCATATGTTTCAGTGTGTTATTGACAATGCATATTGTTTCACTATTTCATTCACTGTGTGATTATTGTGCGATGAGTATCCTTGGGCTAGCTGGTGGATGTGCATAAGACATTTTTTTTATGCCAAAAAATTGGCACAATGCCGTCTGGGTGACGGCTCAGAGACACCACATTCAAAAATCCTGCTGATGGAAATTCTTTGAGGAGACATCCCTGAAACACCTCCAGGACGGAAGTGGGATGAATTGGGGGGCTGTCACGAGGATGCTCCACAAGGACATCCCAGAGATGGTGTTTTATTTGTGGAGGAGCACGCCCCTGGGATGCTCTGGTATGTGGGGGCTGCTGTCCTGGGGCCGTCCCCCTGGACCCTGCCCCTGGGACGTCCAACTGCACTGGTGGTGTACCGGAATCCATAGGCTTACACCCCTCTGAGTCACTACACTTTTGAATGTTAAGCTTTGATCTGTTTATGTAGAGCATGTCAAAGGACAGACTCAACTAGTGATGTTCAGTTCTTTGAGCTGGGATATGTAGCTCCGAAGAAGGAAGGTGCTTGACTGCTGCGCCTTTGACACCCCTCCTGAGCTAGCAGCTCCTCTTGTTATGTCATCAGCCATCCAGTCGCGGCCTAGCTGGACGGGTCCTTTGAAAGTTTTGATGTCAATTGTTTACTTGCGCGTCTCCAGTCCAACCATAGCACTCACCCTCCACCTGCCGAGCGAGATTCGATCCATCTCGTACAAGCAGCAATCAAGAGAAACACATCAATACCAGCACTCGATCCTCACCGCCTCAACACGCATGTCCAGCTCTCGAATCATCGTCCTGCCCACCTGTTCGATCTGCCAGGATGATGAAGCGGGTCTAGATATCGTTGCCACGATCTGTGGTCACGTCTTCCATCTGAGCTGCATCCGGACCTGGGACGAGAGCCAATTCTCACGCAGACATCCGACCAAATGTCCGAGCTGTAACATCACTCTCAGAAGAGCCGCCTCAACATCCTCTGCCGCAAGATTCATCACCCTCCATTCACTCACCGAGCGAGAGGTTGACGACCAAGGCTCATCCCAAGTGATCGCTCGAACCGGCGACTCTTCAACTGATCCCCGCCTCTCAAGGTGTCGAGAGGAACTCAACTCCCTCAAAGAAACACTCAAGGAACGCGAACAAAAGATCCAACAGCTCACCCTCGAACCTGTCGCGCTTAGAAGGGAGAGAGAGAACTTGACCGCGACCTTAAGGGTCTTGAATCACTCCAAGCAAGAACTCGAAGATCGGGTCCTTAAGGTTTCAAGAGATCTCCGGATCGAACGCAAGGAACGTACCGATGAAAGGCTTGCTCGCTCCTTGGATGAAAAGAGGATCAAAACTGAGATGGACAAGTTGAATGAAAAATATCGGATTGCAAAGAACGAGGGAGAACAACTTCATGAGTCAGTTTTTTTTTGTATCCCTCAAGTATGTTCATTCTCTTCTTATAGAGACTGAAGCTGATATCGAAAATTGTTATGTGTATTATAGACAATATGTTAAGAAAGTTAGCGAGAATGAAGAGCTTCAATCATTCGTCTCCGAATTCGGTCAAGAGAAAGCTAGATTTCAGGCGACCGAAGTCGCTCTGAGAGCTCAATTACAAGAAAGTATCGAGAGATTCAAAAGTGTCAAAGCAGCTAATTTGGTTTACAAGGACAAAGTAAGTATTTTCCTTCTCTATTCTGTTTTTTTTTTAAAGCAGTCGATGGCTAACAAATTTGTTTTTATAAACACCTCTCTGTAGTTGGAAAAGAAGCGGAATTTCTTCGAAGATAAAGCGGGGATGGGCGATCGTAGTTTGACGAGCTCGGTTCGACGGTGCAGTAAATTTTATCCAGATGTTTCCAAGTCGTCGATCCATCCAGGCGGACTGATGGTTCTATCATCGAACCAAGCTACCAACACCACCTCCGCCCAACCATCCAAGCGAGCCAACCAACCGACCAGCGTCCAGTCTCCCTCGACTGAGTCGAGCAAGAGAATCTGTAGGACCAAGCCTCCAGCTGATCATCATCAGAACCATCCCAGTGCCAATGTCCAGATCGAAATCCAATCCTCCTCTGACCCTGAAGATCTAACTCATCATAACCATCCTTCCTCTTCCAATATCCACTCTTCCTCCCCTCCTCCCAACATTCCAGCTGACCAAGATTTGGTCATGCCTTCCTTGTTCGGAAGGGACTTGTCTACTCCTGCCCGTGACCAAAAGAACAAGCTCCCCCTGCCTTTCAATCATCTTCGAACTAATCAAGCCTCCAGCTCTTCGGCTTTCAAATTCTCTAAACCTGCCGATAAACTCTTGGCTCTGGGTCCTAAAGTTAGACACAGATAAATCACCCACCTCGTTTCTTCTATTTACATACTTCCTCGTCTATCTTGAGATTGTTTTCTTCTTTCTTTTTTGTTATCATTATGGTCACAAAAAAAGAAGAAGAAAATTATTCTTGCTATGATCAATTTTTGACTCACCCTCTGAACTTTACTAGTTATTATGAAAGAACAAACCACAAAAAAAAAAAAAAAAAAAAAAAAATGACGACCTATTTGATTGATCTTATATATTCCCCCTCTGAATCGTTAGTTCCTTTTTATTTCATTTTTGTGATGTCTCGCGATCTTTCTTGTTGCCCCAATTTGACGCCCTCGATGATCGTTTCTTCTTCTTATGAGCCTATATCCCATTTCCATATAACCAAGATCCCTCTCCATATCTTTGCTTGGATATTTATATGTTTACATATTTATATCGAGTTCATCCTGCATTGTTGACATGTAAATATTCCTAGTTGGTTCTTGTTGTAGTATGTAATGAACACTTTGTGCAGTTGGTTCCAGTGATTTTTTTTTAAAAAAAACTTGGGTCTCAAGATCAAACTGGATTTGATCAGGATTAAGTACATATTTTAAACCAAAAGAAATGAACAGTTTTTGTCCGTGCCATCATTGTATGTAACCAAATCGCAATCTGAGCTTTGCAAGTTCTGGTGCGATGCCATTGTACATATCCTGATTCCTGAGACCGAAGATCCGGCTTCGGCGCTTGGCCATTGGACCGCCAAAGACACACACATTACAAAATCGAAAGGGCATGCTTTGGTTGAAGTACAGTTCGTTTTGTAACAAGGCTCTGGATGACTGTTTGAAGCCTGGCGTGGCTCCGATGATGTAGGACATATTAATGCTGAGTTGAAATCCGGCCAGCTTTAGCCTTTATCCAATGGCAAACCTTAATGGCTATCAAACCCAAAGACTCGCATATATTAATATTAAGAATTGAATATTAATTTGCACAGCCATCTATTTAAATATCCGATTTAGATTATTATCGTTTGCAGGCCGATCTTCGGGGGTGGTTGATTGGCTCAAGTCTTGGAGCTCTTTCATCCGCCCTACATATGAGTCATGAAGCTTAAGATTTTGGAACAAAAAAAAGGAACACTTTAACGAGTCTTTGTACTGGAGCAAGTAGTCTCATCACCATTCTTCTCAGACATTCATCTCCCTCATACAACCCCCCCATCCAGCACACATTACAGCTTCTGCGATCGACCTACATAAATACTTTCACTCAACACAAAACTCGAGCAAGATACATTGTACCGATTCTCCTCCCCCCCGCATTTGTATTATTCCATCAAACAAGCCCACAGCCTCTACTTGACCGACCCATCTATCGAGTCTCTTAACATTCAAGAATCGGATTCAAGTCGATCACCAACACCCAAACAGCCAGCCGTTTTCAATTTTTTTGGCAGGACATGGCAACCACCGAAGTAGTCGTCATGCCCACCTGCACGATCTGTCGCGATGATGATGCGACTGATTTGAACTTTGGGATAACCGCTTGTGGACACGCCTTCCACTCGCAGTGCATGGAAGACTGGAACAGAAATCAAGCGCTTCGGCGCAGGATGACAGTATGCCCGTGCTGCAACACCAACTTATCCTTTACACGATCACCGACCATTCGCATCCACCAGCTCGCCAAACAAAGAGTAGTCATCATCCCGGACGGACATGCCGATCCGCTCGAGGAACTCAAGGCGGCGACCAAGAAGCTCGAGAAACTCGAAGCCGATCAAGCCAAGCTCGCCGTCGAGAACAATGCGCTCAAAGCCAAAGTCACCAAGCTAACCTATGAATCCAAGAAGCGGATGGTAGAAGAGTCCAGGAATACCCCCCAAGGATCTTATAAAGTACTGAACCTCGATGGTCATCATGGTCCCGATCTCGAAAAAGAGAGGCAGATTCGCAAGAGACAGCTACATGCCTTGCACATGGGAGAGCAAAAGAGACTGCTCAGGCAGCTTGAAGATTCAAAAGAAGCTTACGAAAACCTCCTGGCTGGATTTGAACCGGTGGGATTGACGATGTTTGTTTTGATCTCTATATTCTATTCTTCCAAGGTGGGTGAAGAAGTTTATGTATCATACTGACTTGCTCTTTCTTTCTTAACCGCTTGAGATTTCACAGAAACACCTCTGCAGCAGACAGAGCCACTCCATCACATCAACGGCAACCAATCGATCCAGTCGACTCGGATCGATCGTCGAGTGTATCGATTGGAGTGAAACGACCACGTCCCTCGAGGACCGAGAAGGAGAAGGCCAAGACGCCCATGGTGATCGAAATCGATTCGGAATCCGACAACCCTTCGCCTCCTCCTGGGCCGCCGAATTCCCCGGCCTTTACGCTCAACCCCTTCAATCCAATCCCCGGCCCTTCAGTCCCAAAGCCTTTTCGCGCTCTACAGGCCTCGACTAGTGCTTCGAAAAGAAGATACGATCAAGCCTCAGCTACCCCGAAGATTAACTATACTACTCGTTCTTTCGCTAAACTGGCCTCTGGTTCCGGCCCCAAAGCTTAGCAATCTTCCCCTAGAAATTCGTCCGGGCCATCAGACCCTCAATTAGAAATCAACCCTCTTTCCTCACACATACTCCCTCTTTCTCTCAATCCCAACTCGCCGTAAACCACTTTGGACAATCCAATTAAGAAGAGCTTCTTTTTTTGGCTGGTAGTCCTTTAGACTCGCTTCCATTGAGGTTCGACTTTGCTCCTCGACAACTGCTTTTTTTTCTTTCTTTCTTTTTGCTTAGTATTAGACATCCTGCCTTCATGCCCAATTAGCTTCTTCTCCATGCCTATCCTAGTTCATTCCTATCCAATCCTCAGCTCTCATCATGTCAGTAACTCATCCCGAAAAAAAACAGAAACAACACAACACAAACTTCTCGCTCATCATTCATCCTCATCAGTTGTTCCCAGCTTCCATGTACTTTTTTTTTCTATCATTCCACACTCATCAAATTCCCATCCGATTCTCGTCCGACCCCATTCGACTTTCTTTTCATCTAGTCTCACATCGACGTCTGGCCTGGCCCCTCCTCAATTTCATCCACTCTTTCTTCATGCAAACCCAAAACCCCCCCAAAAAAATTATTGGTCTCATTATAAACTGTTCTTGTCCTCTCAACAATCCAACAATGAAGAAGTTATCTATGCCAGAACACGTTCTTTCTAGAAACAAATCATGCCATCTTAGCCAGAGTTTCTATACCCTTTTGAGTGTTCTTTCCCTTTTTGTTTCCCACCAAGTGATGTTGCACATTCAATTTGTATCTACCATACCCACCAGCCTCGAGACCCTATCTTACATCAGTCCAAACTGATGACAGGAAACTTATCTGCAATGAACCCTGAGCTGTTTGCTCCTACCAGCCAGAAGATCTTCTTTATTTGATGGTGATCCTGGACACACAAGCTGTACTGATTGGCAGCCATGAAGGATTTCTCTTGGACGGTGTACATAGACAGGATAACTTGCTCCCACCCACTTGTCATCAAAGAAGGAACATTTATTCAAATTAATTGAGATGGAGGAGAGGCAATTGAGCTGGATGGACTCCATGGCAATCTGTAGGACACTCAAGGACAATCCCACCCCCATTAGCTTCCGGGAATGCAGACTGTTTTGTGCAGCATTCCTGATCTTGCACACAACTCTAGGGAGAGTCCAATTAATGGTCAAGGCCAACAAAGTAGTAGTTGTTTTTTTTTTTGAGATTTTTGGGGTGGTTTTGGGGGGGATTTGGATGTTGGAGTGGGTTCTGGACCCAGCTGAAGTGTGGGTTTTTGATGATGGCGAGAGAACCCATGTCCATGGGAGTGTATGTCTGAGAGTGAGATGTCATCCTACAGTACAGCTACTTCATGTTGATCCATGTTTTACCAAACCTCCCATCTCCAAAATGAAAAAAGGAAAGTGTTGCTGGGCTCGATGTTTTGTAGGCCAGTTGGGCTACATATCTGTTAGTGTACCGCTCAACAACATATATAGCCAAATTTGGCTAAAGGTTTTGTGGGGCCTGGCAGTATATTCTGTCATGGCTGCACTAAACACTATGCTTGTATAGGCCCCACAAAAGGGCCTGCTACGCTGGTCAGTGTTTTTTTTTTCTTCTTTGGCAATGTAGCGGCGACTAGCGGCTTGTAGCATAGCAAAAAAAAACTGCAAACGGTGCACTACATAACACTACAGATTTTGTGCCCCCCCCCCCAAAAAAAAAAAGTGTGGCGGCCCATTGTTGGAGTCTCGAGCCCTCTCATTCTACCCTAAATAAAATCACTTGTTCTTACTACTCTAATTTAAGTCCAGTCAACTCCCTATATAATTAACCCATACCCCTTGGTGGAATGGGTTAATAAGTTGGGTTTACCAGCCATTTTGTAGCAAATTTGGGGGGCTACTCTCCCATGGTTTAATAGGGAGTTGACTGCACAGCCCATGTTTGTTGTGGCCAAGCAGGATCAGCCTAACTCACAAGCCCATCAGTACTGGTTGGTTTGGGAGATGGACTCCCATAAAAGGCCAGGGAAACAACTCTGGCTGGGTTGGCTGGATTTATTATTATAACTCCCATTTCTGGCAACAGTTTTGGGAAAACAACTGTCGAAAACTACCAGATCAAAAAAAAAAAAACATTGTTCCCACAACATTCTTGATGTGATTGTTGGAATTTGGGTGTCCTGCAATGTCCCACTCATTATTTTGGAAGTTGTGTTGAGGTGTTTCCGGGAGAACTGATGCACTCTACAAATACCAGATTCTATCTGATGAAACCCAATTTGTAGTTCATATGGCATTTCTGAAATCTGATGTGACTCTTTGTGACTGGCTGCGGAGGATCGACGAGCTTCTTCTGTTGCGGATGAATGGGCCGAGTGGACCGGGATATTGCTGCCGGACGCCCATTCAGCAGCCAACTCCCTGGGACTCGGAGAACGACGGGCCCACTCAAGCTCCTACTCCTATAACACACACCATAATCCAATATAGTGTAGTGGCCAGCTACGAGTTACCCCTCACTGCCTCCGCCCAATCCGCACCGGGAAGCGATTCGATCAGTCATACCCTGTCTGTTCTAGACACTGCGATCATACCCGGACGGCCTCATCGGTTTATGACCAAGTATGATAACGACCAAGGTGATCGTCCTGCCAACCTGTTCGATCTGCAGGGACGATGAGGACGAAGAGCTCGGCTACGTGGCGACCAAGTGTGGGCACCTCTTCCATGCCGAGTGCATGAGGGAATGGAACAGGAACGAACGAAACCGAGGTGGAAGCCCGCGATGTCCGTACTGTAACACCCATCTCCACACCAACTCCGACCATTATCACGGCGGCGATTCGAATAGTCTGATCCGCATCCATCAGCTCATCAATCAGCGCGTGACGATCATCGAGGATGGCAAGCCTACCCCTGAGGAGGAGCTCAAGGCGGCACGAGATAACCTCAACTCGATCAAGGTGATCCTCAACAAGGAGACCGACAAGCTTCGTTCGGCCGAGGCGGAGAAGCTCAAGATCGAGGCTGAAAACAAAACGCTCAAAACAACCATCTCCAAGTTGAATCAAGAGGTCAAGATCAACAAAGAAAAGTGCGACAGTCGGGCCGCTGACCTCAGGAAAGAGAAACAGGCTCGACAGAAAGATTTGGCAATCCACTTGGGAGAGAAAGCTGCTTTCCAGAAACAAATCGTAGATGCAAAACATCATTACGAAAAACTTAGGAATGAGCGTGGTCAATTGAGCAAGTTGAGTTATTCTCTTAATCCCTTCATAATATATGGATAAATGAATTCTTGAATGATGAACTGATCTGGGTGCTATTTACATTTAAAGGGATTTGGTCCAGAGGAACATCGAGAATACGAAACTGAAAGGAATAATGGGTAATCAAACCAATCTGATCAGTAACTTACAAGCACAATCGATGCAACTCTCTCGCGAGAGGGATCAACTTGCGGAGAAACTGAATGCGATGAGACAACCTAATCATGGACAGCTATTCCGAGGCCAAGCACTCCAATCGAACCAGCAACAGCACCACTACCCGGTCCAAGCGATGCAAGCCAACCAGCATTTCTATCAAGCTCCTCCAGTCGATCCGTCCCAAGCTGGACAATTGATAGACGTCTTACAGGGTCTCAGTGGTGGGTTCATGAAGCTCGAGAGGGAGTACATGGGAATCAAAAAGTCAGTAGATCATACTACGCTCCCTCCTACGTAGGTAGGTGAGCTAACTACAATTATCATGCTCGGTGCATTGCCCCCCCTTTTTTTTTCTAAGCAGACTCTTGGAAGAAAAGAACGAAAGGGAAGGAAATGGACGAGGCATGGAGGATATGGAGAAAGAAAACCGGCAGATCCAAGGCCAAGCGGTTATCGAAGCCGTCCAGGACCGCCTCTTACGCACAACTCAACCACCACTCTTCTCATCCAAGTCCGAGATCGATTCGGCTAAGGGCAAGGAGCACGAGATCCATGAATTAGTACAGAAAATAGAATCTTGGGACTCTCCCAGTGTCTCTGCTGCTGCTGATCAGATGATTGATCCTAGACTATTTGGTTGATTTTAGATACTCTGTATAGGTCTATATGTTCCACCTTATGGACATTTTTTTTTCTCTCTCTCTTTCTTTCAAATTAACAAAAAATAGTATAATCGACAGTCTACTCAAGAAGAAGTAGCTCGAGGACCTAAATAGTCCAAAGAATCCAGAGGACAAAAACAGTCCAACACTATCCATATTATCGACCGACTGAATTACCCTTAACTACCTGATCTTTATTTATCTGTGTATCTCATCTTCAAACATTACAACTTCTGTCTCTTTTTTTTTTTTTTTGAAAAAAGAAAAATTCATTAAAAAAACTGTCACCGTTTTTCTCTTCCTCACACATGAAACGTAGATTTAGGGCATATGCCTTCCTCTTGGAAATCCAACAAAGTCCAAAATATGTAGATACTTGGGACTATTCTTGCTTCTGCATACACTCAAGTCATGAGCCATCAATGGCATGACACACAAGGTCAAGCGAAATGAATGTCCCCCGGACAGACGAGCCACCCGTGACCCGGGAGGTCAACGGTCGCACATGGACTCTCCCCGTTGAGTCGTTGACGTCATTGGTCAACAGAAACAAGATTGCATCATCATCATCATCATTTGATTGGTGCTCTCTCTCAACCAAACCACACAATCACATACAGCTGCCCACGAGCATGACCTCTCAGCCAGCTTCTTCAGATCGGAAAAGGATAGATTACCTGAAATCCTTAGGATCTATTCGAGAGAGATGTCAACAAGTCTTCAATCTAACAGTTGACCAAGACCAATTGGAGTTTTGGTCAGTCGATCAATCTACTCTACCCAGCATAGTCGATTTCTGCTCTTATTTGATCTCGGTACGCAATCCAACTTCCATTCTTGATGTATCTCGGGCTGTGTTTTCTTGGCGATTTCTGACTGGCAAAATATGGATTCTGATTAATTGTACATAGCGAGATTATGGAGCGAATTATCAGTCGATTCCGCCACATGGTCGATGGAGACATTTCCTTGCTAACGAGCGCGACCGGATTAGTCCTCTACTCGAGCAATGGTCGGCCGATTCGAGTGTTGATCAGGTCGAGAAAGGGCGCCGATTGGTGGATTTGTTCGTGGTTGCAGTGCTGATGGACGCAGGAGCCGGGGACGAGTGGAAGTTTGTCGAGCCATTGGAGCAGTCCTGCTCGACCAGCTCGAACGCGAACGAGAGCTTGGACCAGGGGATCGGCCGGAGTGAGGGGCTTGCCGTGGGCACCTTACATGCCTTCAAGCGAGGCATCTTTTCTTCCGATCCCCAACGGCCCCATCAAGTAGATCCCATTGCCCTCAGCTCACTCACCCCCTCAAAGGTGGCCGAATTTATGCAGTCCAAGCCTGGTAACCAAATGGTCGGATTGGAAGGACGCTCGAACCTCCTTCAAAAACTTGGTGGCTTACTTTCCAATGGATCCAAATATTTCCCTGCCCAAGAACCAAATTCTCAATCGCGCCCGGGGAACTTGATCGACTATATCCTCTCTCATCCCAATGTTCATCCCCTCCCACGTGCGGTGATGCGAGGAGAAATCAGCGTGTCGATCGACGTCTTATGGGAGGTCATCATCGACCAAAAGCAGGGGCTAGGTAGCATTTGGCCACAGGAAGGCAGAGAACCTATTGATGGTGAATTCATCGGAGATGTATGGACTTGTGAGGCTTTAAATCGAGTGAAAAAGGATGGAGGACATGTGCCCTTCCATAAGCTATCCCAATGGTTGACTTATTCGTTGATTGAGGTGTGAGTTATTCTTATTGCTAATTTTTTGAGTCAAGGCTGTCATACCTTGATTCTTGGATATTGTCAATTTATCTGATGCGTATGAGCTCTTCAACAGTCTAGAGAAAACTCTCAAGTGGGTAATCACAGGAAGCGAGAAGATGACTGGATTGCCGGAATATCGCAATGGGGGATTACTGATCGACTTTCAATACCTCCAGCCAAAACCGATTGCATTCATTAAATCGTTAGGCCTCCCCGAGACGGATTTAAGCTCGTTCAGTTTGATGGAAACCTTGCCGCCTCTACCAGCCAGTCATCCAGCGATTGTCGAGTGGCGGGCGTTGACGGTGATCGCGCTGGACCGGATCAAAGACTCGATCAACCAAAAATTAGAGCTCAGTAACTCGCCTCAGGCTTTGTCCTTGCCACAGGTCTTGGAAGCTGCTACCTGGAAAGGCGGCCGCGAAATCGCTAAGATCAAACGCGCTAAGGACGCCGGATCATCCGCTGGACCTCCGATCAAAGTCATCAGCGATGGAACCGTCTTTTGATAATCATGTTTCCAACTATTAATTCATACATATCATCCTCATTCTTTGTTGTTGTAGTTACATACTTGCCACAAAATCTTTCTTTTTCTTTTGTAACCCCCCCAAAAAAACTAATCGAATTAAGATGCAGGTTACATACTCAAATGATAACTTGTTGGTTAATTCTTTTTCATATTATGTGTGCTACTTAATTCCATGTTGAAGACTATCTGATAGATAGACAAGATATAAGAAGACCCAAATACACAAATATCTGCTGTTGTGCTAATATTAGTTACCATTAGAATAGTAGATAGAAAACCCCTGTTGCGTTCGTTCGACTTTCATGACTGCTGACATGAATGTTGAATATCCAACAAACCCTTGGAGAGCCAATTCCACAGCCTGTTCTAATCTTCAAGACAGATGGAATAAACCCTCTGCAACAATATTGATCTGGATTTTCCACCGCTCTCATTGTAAATAAATATCTGCTTCTTCTGCTGTGATCTCTGGGAGCATTTAAGTCAGTTATATCGCGAGACTGTTTATTGGAGTTATATCAGTGTTAATAAGATTCACAGCGTTCAGCAATCTCTGGCTTCCTGGTGGGTACGCTATGTATCTATTCGATGTAGACTAAGAAGGTTTCATTCACTTTGTTAGGTGAGATTTGGTGATCTTGTGTTATGGTTTTTTTGGAACCCTGCAGACGCAGCTGATAAGATGAGACTGTGAGGTGCAGTAAAGGCCCAATAGTCGATGATGCTCTACAAGTTTTCCGGAAAGCCCGCCTTCATGACAATGCTCTGTGGGCTGTTCCGTCAGACCTCCCTCAAGACCCTCACTACTGATCTCCACCGCCGGCCCTCATCGCCTGAGCTCTTGGACGAAATGGAACACTCCCTGTTTTGCGGGGGATGCCGCTTGTATATTCTACCTTTTCTTTTATCTTTGCCTTTTAAAGTTTTACGATGAGGTTGTGAGTTCCAATGCCGACAGGTGCCGAGCTCTCGGGCCAGCGAACAAAATCAGTCAAGCCAAATAATAAAATATTGTACCTGGAGCAAGTTTGATTTGGCTTTTGGGGCTCCCGATAGCCCATCGCCCGACCGAACACTGCCAGAGAGATATTTGTACAGCCAAAGCGAAATACACTCGTAGGAAGTAGGGCGTCTCGGCGCCTCAAGTGGCTTTATACTTATCAAGGCAATACATACACTTCCATACAACTGATGGATCCAGTTGCGTTGAAGATACATTTAACCGGTGGATTTGTTCCACTTCCTCTGCCATTTCCCACCCTACAACACAATTCTCCCACTGGATCATTGGAGCTGAATCGATCATTGGAGCTGAATCCAATAACCAACACTTACTCAAACTATCTGTTCCTGAAAAACATCCATTCTTATTGACCAAAACCGCAAGCATCCAAGTGCAAAATGTCAAATCCCAAGATGATTGGCAGCAAGGGAATGAGGCTCATAACCTTTATAACCACGCTGGTATTACTTGTAAGTGGTCCTGCTTGACTCGAGCTCAGTTCTCCAACTTTGGCTTGGTCTCCAAACGCTAATGCAAGTTGGAATCGATAACCATCAAAAGTTGAATAATGAACAGGTGATTGGGGCTACCATTAATCATGAGCAGTCGTTGGACAAACGGGGCCTTCATGCTCGAGCTGGCGGGGCCGTTCCCGTCTATACCACCTGTACCGCCCCGGGATCATTTGCACTCAGTAGGCATCTCCCTCCCTCTCTCTCTCTAATCTTATGCAGATGGAATCACGTACTCGACTCTGATCAACGATTCTTGATCATCCTTCGCTTGTTAGCATTCGATGATGGACCCTACGACTTGGGGTCGAAATTAGATGCAACCTTAGATGCGTCGAATTCGAAGGCCAGCTTCTTCGTTAACGGGAACAATTATGGATGCATCTATGATTATGCGGATACCTTGGTCGAGAGATTTAACAAGGGACATTTGATTGCGTAAGAAATCCTGGCTTTTTTGTTCTCTCTAGAAATCATCCTCCAGCCCATGATTGATGTGCTGGAAAACTACATGTTACCGTATGTAGGAGTCATACTTGGTCTCACGTTCATTTGAACCAAGGTACTTATCAACAGATTTCTCATCAATTGGACTTAATGGAGAAGGTAAGCTTTCTTTTCCCCATCAAACACTCTCATATCACGATTGTGTTGTCACTATCGAGCATGATTACTAACTTGGAACTCATGGGCATCACATCGCATGATATTTTTCTAAAGGCTATGGTAAAAATCTTGGGAGTCAAACCCCTCTATTTCAGACCTCCTTATGGTCCGTATTTCCTGGACACATGATTTGAACTTTTTTTAGAGAACAACCAAGCCCGATTAACATACTATCTTCCCAAACTTTCGACGATTCAGGCGAATACAATGACGTTGTCGTAAGTAAACGCAGTTTTTTTTTCATCATTAATATGTTTGAAAGTGTTTGATTTCTCATAAAAGAATCGTTACATGATCTTCGGAATTTTAGTTACAGGTATTGAGAGACAGAGGATACAAAGGGTTGATCATGTGGTCGCAAGATTCTGGAGACAGTTTGGCATCACCTCCGAGCTCCTCTGAGATCGTTTCATCTTACGGCTCTTACCCGGAGAAATCAATCGTCTTGAACCATGAGACCAAGTCGCTTACGGTCAATGAAGTGAGTGTCGTGTCTGACTTGCTTAATCATGGTTCCCTGGTGCAAAAAAAAAAATCGACTCGAAATCTATCTCCATTGACGCGCGTTGCCTTGTGCTTAACTTTGACTTGATCATCTAGGTCATGCCGCGTGTCATCCCGAACCTGAAGCAGAAAGGATTCAGCTTCAAAACGGTAATTAGAGTCTTTTCACTCGTTGGAATGCTAGCTTGGAAGGTGACCCACCACTAATTATGAATCGCTTGTTTTGTGCTCGTATCAAACCTTTCAAAATAGGTACCCGATTGTTTAAATCTCGGCTCGAACCCAAGTGATTGGTACGTTTCCGTCCAAAAACCTGGAACCAAAGATGTAAGTGACCATTCACAACCTTCAAGAATAAAAAAAAATGTTCCAAATCTGTTGATGTTGCGTGAATTATTGATTTGTGATAATTCTCTGGTGTGTGTTTTTTCCTTCTTTTACATAGTCAACCTGGACTTGCAGCGGTACTCCAGCACCCGGAAAATTTGAATAGAGTGGTGGACACAATCTCATTTGTCTGATTCATTCTTCGGCCTTTTTTTTTCTATCTCTCTTATTGGATGTCTCTGCATTCTCTTTCTTGCCTGGATTTCATCTGTGAACTTGAACAAAAAGAACATAAACCGCCCGATCAAAATCTTTGGATTTCTCTATTATTATTTTGTTTGTTTCTCAAAATTCTTATAAAATGGTTGATATTCTTCTGGACAAGTTTTGTTTAAATTCTCCTGGGTCTGATTTCTCTTTCCTCTGGAAATTGACATTGATAATTAGCAGGTGGTTGGTGTGCTATGACAAGAATGAGTGGATCGATCGAATCAGGCCAAAGCTAGAGTAAAATATCCTACACAAGCTTTCAGCCATTTTGGTGGGTGGAAATGAGGACGATTCTTTCAAGACACGTTTTCTCCACTGAGGAAATTGCCAATTTGTGACATGTTTTTCCTTGAGCTGTCAGCTGTCTGCTGCTGGGATCGGCATAGGTGTCACGGGTTTCCCCCTTATCGCAGTGGAGTCAGTGGAGTCTACTTCTTTTAAGTTAATCTTCCACCATGTATCTCTCCGACAATCTCACTCGCCCCTTTTTCCTCCAGGCAGTACCCGATGGTATGTACACCCACAAGACATACATAATAGATCTCCCATTGACTTTCTGCCTTCTTTTCGCGCATACCCAGTCTGGGGCCCTAGCAAGCCACTACATCGCGCGAGGACGAGACGATTGTTTGTTTGCAATATACGATAATTAGAAATGACCATCTCCCAGGTGATCGTTCTTCCGACCTGTGCAATCTGTCAGGATGATGACCATGGCGTCTTGAACATCGTGGTGACCAAGTGCGGACACATCTTCCATTCGCATTGTCTCGAAGAATGGCACCGGAACGAACGCGCACTACGAGGAGGGATCAAATGTCCCTATTGCAATACCGGTCTCGAAGTCGGCTCCTTCTACTCCCGCCTCGAAACATCCAACACTACTCGTCTCCATCAACTTACTACCCGCCGCGTCGTCATACTTTCCGATGGTGACCCCTGCCCCGAAGAGCAGATTAAGAAATTACAACTCGAGATCGCTTCAATCAAGCTCGACTTGGAGAATGAATCCCTCAAGGTTCGTGCGCAGGAGGCCGAGAACACCGAGCTGGTCGAGAAGAACAAGGCACTCCTAATAACCGTCAACCAGCTGAGAGAACAATGTAAATCGTACTGCGAAAATACCGATGATCATGTCAGCCAACTCAAACGAGATCAGGAATCACACCAAAAAGAATCTGCAACATACCTAGAGGAAGAGGAAATACTGCGCAACTGGGCAAAAGAATTGAAGGACGGTGAGGAAAGAGTTCAGGTTGAAGTGAAAAGATTGTCCGAGTAAGTCTCAAACTTTTCCTCCCCCCCCCCCATGTTTTTACCCTTTTGCACCAACCTTTCAGTGGGAGAACCAAAGAGAAGAAAAAGTTGATGGTTGGTTGATTTTCTATGTCAAACCAGGTTTGTGGAGCGCAAGGAGATCGAGAGGTCGAGACGTACCGGGCTTGCGGCTTCCCAAGGTGGGACCATCAGGATCTTGGAGGCCCAAGTGGCTGAATTGAATCGAGAGACGCATCAGCTTTCACAAATGATCGATGTCACAAGAGAGAGCCAGAGGAGGTCCGACGGGAATTTGGTAGAGTCCGGACGGTCCCACCATCTGATGAACGTCATGTTGACGCTGAGTGGACGATTCTCGAAACTTCAGAGCGACTATTCGACTTTAAAAAAACAGTCAGTTTGAATCGTTAGCTTCATCATAATAGCTTGTGAAGATTGATGATGAAGCCCCCTTTTGATTTTGGATTTGGTGTCAATGATTCTCTGATGATTTAGGATGCTGGAAGTCAAAGATGATGGAGATGATCAGTCCAAGACGCCCGACATGGACAAGTCAGTGACGAAGGAATCAGATCATGGAGCTCTCCAAGCAGTGATCAAGAACCCGTTGAAGGAAACGAGCGTCCCAAAGCTTCAATCCTCCTCTGAGCATAACATCAATCAGAACAAAGGCAAGGGGAAAGCGGTCGAAGAATTGGTAGAAAGAATGAATTCCCTCGAGGTCCCTACAGGCGAACTAACCGAGAACATGGACCCCAGACTATATGCTTAATATATCCCTGACCCACTTGTTCAGCTTGTCCTGATATCTCCTTGGCGTTCAATTCTTTGTATGGCACCAGCAAAATGGACAAAAAACACAAAAAGAAAGATTCATAAAACACATTTTCTTTTTAAAAAAAAGAACATGATCAGAGAACAATGTAGACAAATGACTTTACAGAAGAGAGGATAGTTGGATGAATGTATGTGGAGTTCGGACTAGTGGAGGAAGATGGATTGCTGTGAAAAAGATCAAGTGACACGTGTGATGACCACCTTCTAATCACAAAGCCAGCCATTGATAATACCCCCATCACTCTTCACTTGTATCAAGATCCAAGTGCCTTTTCTACTTTCATGTTTTCTTATGTTATCTTGCTGTACCTTGTCTTGTAAATACACTGTGCTTACACAATTCAACAAGTTTTTGTTTTTATGAAAAAGGACAGTGCAATGTGTGATTATCCTATTGGTTGAGTTTCTTGAATTTCTTGGGTTGCATGCTCCTCAATGTATGTTTGCTTATTGTCCCCAGATCACTTCTAGCTTTTGCTTTGGGGCTGAACTTGGGTTCTTATCCAAGAGGGAAAGCTGGTTGGAATTGCAGCTGGATACCTGAAATACAGCCCACCAAGGCTGCTAGATGTGTGGAGTTTTTTTTTTTTATTCAGCTTGTTACTTTGAATCTGACAGTGTGGAGTGGATATCTGACAGCAAAATGGTTTGGGCTGGGCGGCTATTTGCAAAGGGCAATGTGTCCAAATATCAACTTGGCTGAAATCAGAATCTGCTGGCCAGAGGCTTTCCAATCCAAAATCACTTGGCAGCCCAAACATCTCTGGTCAGATCAGGACTTGAAAAGTGATATAAAGTCAAAGATTTCACTTTGACTGACTCATCAGTAACTTCAAATACCCTTTTCCTCTACAACTGCAGAGATGGATTAAACTACATGGAATGTGGTTTGGTGCATTAGATCTCACAGATTCCCTCCCCATCTATTGTGATAAGATGGTTCATTCTTTTGGCCTGGAATTCTTGGCTGACAGAAGTCATGAAAGATTACTATACTTGTTCATAACCTTTAAAAGTTGAATCAAGCAAGTGATCATTGAAAAATGTCACAATGTTCTGCCTCCTGATGAAAGGATGAGAAAACATTGCATACCAATAGTGGTGTTCAAAGTTGGGGCATAAATGTATAAAAATAAGTCCATAATCTTTCTTTCACAGAACTGCTTACATAATCCATATCTCAATCCATTTATGAATTTATATTTATGCATATTATATGGTCCAACTTTGAATACCCCTAATCACTTTCAAAGTTTTTATTTATTTATTTCATCATCCAAAATGTTTGATAAGATTGTCAAAAGTAGAGAACTCCCCTTTGAATCTACAGTCCTTGTAAATGCCTGAATGATCCAAAATTGTTCTGGGAAAATAGCTTTGATGCAGCCTATAATTCTGGATTTACAGGGGGCTGTAACACCAAAGGGAAGTCCTCCAATGAAGATTCAAGGATAAGATACATACACAATTTGGAGTGGGGAAAGATGGAAGAAAATGATTTCAATGTAGTATAGTATTGGACTGCTTCCAATTATATCATATGTTTTATTTCAATCAACTTGACTGGTTGCTTTCTCCCAATGAAATTTCCATCAGAGTCAAATTGCCTTAGACAGTATGCACCAGCCTTGCTTAGCTTTTGGCCAAGAATTTCAATCATTGCATTCCAGTAAAATTCCTTGAATCTGATGAATATATTTGGGTGATAATTTTTATACCAGTACTGTATAACAGCTAGAGAGGTCTGAATGACTTTCCTTGGGCCCAACTTATGAGTGAAGTAGTTTTCTATCAAGTATCGTTGGACTTCATCAAATTGAGAAGGGTAATATTCATCCAAATTTCTATCCACATTGCCAATGATTGGCAAGCATCCATCTTCATTCTTTGTAAGAGTTTCTAAAAACCATGCATTGAATGAAGTCAATGCATTTTCTAAAGTTGGCACTCTATTTGTTTCTAGAAAATCAATTAATACTTTGTGACATAGTTTTAAATGGAATAGTAAGGTGTTCAATATCTTTTGAAGTTTTTTTGGCTTGATTATATCACCATTTGGATTGACAAATGAGACTCTACAAAGTGGTTTGTGATCCTGATCAAGATGTAAAAGCAGGATCACTGGAAAATCCTTGATTTCTATTTGATTATTCTTAGTCAACCTCATGTTATAAGGAATTCTCTGGAAGATACTTTCTGCTTCAAGATTCTCCAAATTTCCCTTGTAATTTCCAGGTTGCATTGAAAGCGGAAATTGTTCTAATCTTGGTATTTCCATGTCTCCTAACATGTGATGCTTTTCATCTTCAATTTTATCAGGATGACCATCACCATATCTTTCTTGATAAACCTTCATCTGGCAATTCATTGCATCTATCACAACTGATTTCAGTTCCTTGTCTTTACTAGACTCATTTCCCTGACTTGGAATTTGTTCCCAAATACCAAATTCAAAATGCTTATACCAGAACTCAATTATTGTAATTCCAGTTTTCAGGGAGTCTTTCTTTGCTGCTCCTGATGAAAGATAATCAATCAAAATGTTTTGTATGGGCCCAAAATGTTGAGCCTTCTCCAATTTTGCCACATTTTGAATCTTTCCCAAAACTGGAATGCTATTCTCTGGTTCAAATGACTCTTCAAATAACCATTCCAGCATCTTTGTGTGAGAGGTTAGCTCATTCCAGCTAGGTTCAAGCCCACTTATTCTTCTGAGGACAGCTGTATTGATGAATATCAACCACTTGATCAAACTTTCAAATTTTTCTTTCAAGCTGTCAATTCCTTGATGAAGACCTGATTCTTTATCCAAAATCCAGATTGAACTGTGAAAATTTTTACGTGAGAGTTTAAACACAACTGATGGGAATTGATCCATTCTATGATCTAACATCAATTTTCTGTAACCATAATTATCAGTTTTATGGATCTTGTTGATATACTTTTTGAAATCCTTTAATATATTTGAAAGAAAATTTTGATTCATTGAGGATTCAGGGAAAGTTAAATCCAACATTGGGTTTTCTGAATTAGCTTTCAAAGTGGGTTCTTCTGCTTTTGATTTCCAATCACTTGAATTTGCCTGGGAGAGTGCATCCCCATTTGCTTGTTTATTTGAATCACCATTTATATTTTGATTGTCCATAGGCTCTTCATTAACAAGATGATTGGCATCAAAACCTTAAGCATTTACGCACAAAAACAGACCAGGAAAAACTGAGTTGAATAGGCCCAACACACTTATCAAATTCTCAGCAAAAATAGTTGCTTACTTGAATTTTGACCAGGATTTTGCCCTAGGTTAAGGAAATCCCAGATATCTTCTTGAGTAAATACATCAATATCTTCAGGAGAGAAAGCCCCATTTGAACTTGAAGTGTTCAGTGTTAAATCATTTTCACCACAGGCAATGTTTGATGGTACAATAGAGTGAAGTGGATCTTCTATTGCATTCCAAGTAGATCTTTCACCCCAGTCTTCAGAGTGACTTCCCAGGTTGGATATCTTCTGTCTTTTTTCCATGGTAGGAATTGATTCTTTTTCATGGTGGACTGATTATAGTAGGAAGGGATCACAATCAACCCTAATGGAAACTTTGGAAGAAATGAAAGGAATGGGAGATTTTTGTCTTTTTATGAACCTACTTAGCCACTGATCAAAATCCACATTTATTGAATGGCCTTTTGAGACAATTTCTGGTCCTGAAAGTGGAAGAAACTCTTGAAATGACCTTTTTACACTGCTTTGGCTTTCTGTAATACCGACAGGACTAAAAGCTCTAGAGTCTTGAAGGCTGTTTTCACTCAAAAATGGTGTAACTTGATGGCTGTTTTCTTCCCATAAGCCAGGAAGTGCTGAGACTTGAGAGCCTTGCCACAATAAGAATGCCACAGAACAATAATATCTTGATGAAAACAGAAGCATTCTGGTTTATTTCAACTAAGGAATATCAAATTGACTTTGTACCTCTGGTAAATGGGCATGAGTTTGTTAAACTTTTAAATTTGAGTAGTTGTAGAGGGAAGAACCTTTCTGAAATAGTCACTGAGTGCAGACCATTTTTTCTTTTTAATGCTCCTAAACTACAGGACTTGATTCTGTTTTGTTTTCTGAGTGATGTTAAGAAAAATGTAACATAAACTGAAATGTGCCTCTTATTTGCAACTTTCAGAATGATAAGGAGATTCTTTTAAATTTGAAACAGCAAATCTAAATCAATGATTGGTAAAAGCATGAATTTAACTTTGATTCAGTCTCCTTTAAGATTTTGAAGCAAAAATTAAATACATCACAAAACATGTCTCAGGACTAGGAGGAGCTGCATTATTGTCAAAATATTGGTTACTAGTATAAAGGTTTAATTTTTAAATCAGTTAATCTGCAGCAGTATTGGAGACTGCCAGCATAATGATTGGTTGAAATCAACCTAATTTTAAGTGTTCAATTGAATCCCAGTTTAACTGGGAATATATCCTCAATCCTGAAACCTATGTAGGTAGTGTTGCTTATGGTGGTTGTACTTTTTTGAAATGATTTCAGAGTGATTTTATCAAGTAAAAAATGAATCATGTTGATTATATTTGAGTTAGACTTCTTGATAGGCTGCTCAAAATGAGCATCTATGTACAAATTTGAAATTTTTAGGAGGTTGGTGTCTTAATAATAACATCCATTACATGCAATATTGTTGGCTTTTGCAGAATTTTGGCTTGATAAAATTGGATTGCAAATGACTATTTACCAGGCAATTATGCGGGTAGTGTTGCTTGTGGTGGTTGTAAAAAAATAGATTGGTATCAAATTTTTGACTGCTTGCTCCTGTCAACGATGTAACCGATCCGATCCCCGGATCGGTATTTATCGGGGATCGGATCGAAATGTACCCCAATACCGTGTATCGGGATCGGATCGTTTTTCCGATCCAATCCCGATTTATCAGATGATTGGGATCAGCTGGGGCGATCCGATACGAGCCGCGTGGGAACTTGGTATCGGTATCGCCCAAGCCGATCCAAGGATTCCCCGATCCTGTATTGTGGCCCGCCCACATTATTTGGGACCGGGTCGGTCTTCATTTCCGACGGTATACATACAGATACTGCTATTCTAATACCCCACCCCACCACCCCTCCAGTCCTACATATTCCCACCACCCCATCACTACCCCCCCCCCCCCCCATCGATCGTCGGCGTCCTCACCTCGGCTCGAATCTGACGACCGACCCCCCCCCCTCGTCGCTTCACCCATCCATCGTCGGGTCGGACTCGGACTCGAACAGAGATCGCCCGGCCTCCCCCACTCGTGAGTCGTCGTTGAAGTTCCCGTCCCTCCGCTTCGTCTGTGTCGAATCTGACGACCTCCCCCCGCTCGTCGCTTCATTGTTCACCAGGCGTCGGGTCGGACTCGGAATCGATCGGACACCGCCCGGCCTCCCCCACTCGTCGTGCCCGGCCGCTGCCCTCCGCTTCGTCGCTGGGTACTTAATCTGGCGACCCCCCACCCTCGTCGCTTCACCCTTCAAACGTCGGGTCGTACTCGGACTCGAACGGACGTACTCGGACTCGAACGGACACCGCCCGGCCTCCACCACTCGTCGTTCCCGGGCTGCCCTCCGATTTGTCGGTGTTTCGCCGGACGAGCCGCAGCCGCTGCCGCTGTTGTTGCTCTTGGAGTCGTGGGCTCGACTTGGTATCCGCCCCCGACCACTTTCATCTGTTTCTCTCGTTGTGCAAGACAGCTAGTCAGGGCCTGAGGTGAGTCATCGATACGATACGATCCGGTATCGGGTATCGGATTGGATCTGTCATTTTTGTTCAATCGGCATCCGCTGGAATATCAAGTTTGAGAGCCGTGAGCGAGGGTATATTGCAAGGAACGTAATCAACAAACTGATCGAGAACGAGCGAGACCGACAAGAACATGAGGGAGGCAAGAACCACTTCAATGAATATGAAATCACACGAAGCGACTGGGACATTGTCAAGAAATTAAATGATATCATCAGTGTAAGCGTTTCCTCGTCATTTCCAAGATTACTTTCATTTCATAATCTAATTACCTATGAAATCAATATTTTTCTATACTTCATCAACAGGAATTCTATTACATCACTAAGAAGATGGAGGGCGACATCCCATCAGCTTCAATGGTCCTTGCAAAATACCGACTCCTGCGGCAATACCTCGAGGGCAAGCTCAGCACCATCACCGAGGATGAATTCAAGAACATGATCAACACCATGCTCAAAAAAATCGACACCTACGTCAACGAGGCTCTTGCATGCGATGCCATCCTTCTCGCCACAGCTCTCAACCCCAGCTACCGCCTCTCAATGATCCAGAAGTGGTACCCCTCAGCCTTCCCCCGCGCACAATCCCTTCTGGAAGACCAATTCCAACAACGCAAACAGGCCCTCAATGACCAGGCAGCAAGAGATGAAGACACCCCGCCACCCGAAAAGAACACAACCCTGCCACCTGGTGGTGGACTTGAGGAAGATGTCGACTTCTTTTCGGATGCTGCGCCAGAGACCTATGACGAACTGGCAGCGTACCTTGGGGGTAAGTATTGGCTGCCCTCTTCACAGGCTGCTGATTGCTTAACTTGGTGGAAGGTGGGTTCAAACATTTCATATTTCAGGTTCTGAGTTTGTCATAAGAATCTGATTATTATTATTTTTGATGAAATACAGCAATATTCAACAGAATTTCCAGTGGTGGCACTACTTGCCCGAGACTTCCTGGCCACGAGTGCTACGTCTGCAAGTGTGGAGCGATGTTTTTCAGCCGCGGCGGACGTTTGCGGGCAAGATCGAGGCAACTTAGCTGCCAAAACAATCGAAAGATGTGTAAGTTCCCACCAATGGATCACTCAAGGGGTAAAGCCTGATGGCCCATTCCAGGCGGCCCAGGACATAATCTCTGCTACTCAGGCAGAATTGGAAGCAGCCAAGACCACAAAAAAACCTGTCGCTTCGACCTCCGGTGTCACAGGTTAATTTCACTATATCCATTTTTTCCCCTATAATCACAGCCTCTACTCTCTAGGCTCTACCAACCCCCACTCAGTCTCCCAAATTTCATTTCACTCCACTTGAAAAAAATCCCTTGAAGAAAAAAAAGTTGTACATTTCTTTACATTAAGTATGAAAATTATAAATAGCGATGAAAAAAAAATCTCAGGCTCTCCATTTTTAGCTTTAAAAATTTACATTCCAATTTTTATTTTCATAAAAGTTAAAAATTAAAAAAAAAAATCATGTACATATAATAATATAAATGCCCAAACTTTTTCTTTTACCCAAAAAAAACTGCCTTTTGAAATGATCCCACAGATACCGGATCGGTATCGGATCGGTATCGCGATGCGATACCGATCCCTAACCCTGCGATACTGCCTGCTGCGATCCGATACTCTGGGTATCGGATCGGGTGGTCGATCCAATACCCCTTTTTTCGATACCTGGTAACGAAAAATCGATCCGATCCGATAAATTGGCCGATACCGTATCGGATCGGATCTGTTACATCGTTGCTCCTGTTAGCATGTGTATTTCGATGTTTCAGATTTTTATTTGGACCCTCTTTGAAATACATACCAGTGGGTTTGAGATGTGTTGCAAATTGAAAGAGCATTCCACAAGCCAGACGTGTCTCTCAAAATTGTGATTGTTCAGTTGGAAGTCAAGCATTGAATTTGAATCACTCGAGTCCTTTGCTTCCATCAGAATTTGTTTTTGGCTCAGGGCTTCCAACCTTTATCTTGATCAATTTTGAGTTCTTATTCAAGTTTTTGATTGGGTTTGTTGTTGTTCCATCCATCATTCATCGGACCTTCAACCCTCTGTTAGATGTATACCTCATTTGAAGGGAAATGGAGTAACCAAAAACAGAAGAGAAGCGCAGGACACAGCAGGGTGACTTGTGGTGCTTGAGTCCTTGCTGCTGTGTTATTGATCGGAGTGTGAAGGCCGCTTCGATTTGGAGATGTGTCCTCTGACTTGATGGACAGGGGTGGTGGTCGTGGATGTTCCAAGCTGGACAACTCTTCCCACGACCTGCATGCTCCTGGCCTGGTCGACTCAGGGAATCTAGTCGAGGGTCTTCCTTGAACCGAACAAAGCCGGAAAGATAACTGCTTGATAGGGGACTGGCTAGTAAATATTTGATGGGTATGTCTTACTCCAATACTGATCTTCAAACCCAGTTTCTTCCCTCCAACTTCTCCCGAATAGCAATACATGTTGCACCACCAAAGGCTAGTCTTGCGATCAAACTGACTGTTGATTTTTAACTCTTACTCCCTCCAGGAGAAGGTGCATGGGAATCAATGGAAGCAGCCTAAGCACTCTGCGAGAATTAAATCCCATCGTACCACCTTCATAGTCGCTCCGTTGAACGGCACTGGCGCTGGCAAGGTTAGAGAGCTACATAGTCTAGTGAGTAGGTTATAACTATCCCCAGTCTTGTATTTACTTTTCAGCAAAAGGCAGTGAAAGACTCATGTAGCTTTTTTGCGTGTCGACAGGATTGCGTTGGTTTTCTGGAGCTCGAGACGTTGTAATTCAAATCTGCAAGGAAGAAAAAAAACAGTCATCAGAACTGCGTATCTAAAAGCAGTAGCAAATAAAGAAACGCTGCTTGAAAAGAAAAGAAAGAAAGGAAACTGGAAACTGGAAATGTCCCTGAAGCAAGCTGAAAATAATCGATCGGAAGACATAGAGGCCCCACCGAATCCGAACTCGCCGAATCATTCGACATCATCATCCAAGGCCTCTTCGCCGCTCCCGGGAAGTCCAGACCAGATCCTACAGACTCGATTACTCCGACCCACTTCTCCGGATCGCCATGATTTCGATCATCCACCCATCCATCGCTCGCCCGACCGGGGATTTTTCAAGGAGATTTTGAACAATAGGTTTGTGCTCTGTTGTGCTCTGTTTGCCAGTCTGGGAGGCATACTGTTTGGGTATGATGTAAGTCTCACTCCAATCTCAAAATTCATTCGATCTTCCATTTGAGAAGACTGATTGGACTCGTTTCTAGCAAGGAGTAATTTCAGTGACGTTGGTTATGGACCATTTCAATTCTCGATTTCCTCAAATAGACCGGCGTGTTTCGGGTGATGGATCGGCCAGTTTCTGGAAAGGTTTCCTTGTCAGTCGCTGTTTTCCCTCGATTAAGAAACATTGTCTTCATTATTTCCTGACCATTAGGATGTCCTGATCACAGACCGCGATGATTGAGCTGGGAGCCGTCCTAGGTGTCATGATAGCAGGTTTCATCGCGGACAAGTACGGTCGGAAAAGTGCGATCAAAACGTTGAGTCAATCCGTCAACGCTCGATCAATGACAATATAGCTGAACTTACCCAAATTTATGTTTGGTACACACCCTCGCATTCATGCTGTCTTGTGAATCGACAATCGGACATCGGTACCACATTATCCTCAGCGGCTCCTTATTTTTCATCGTCGGATCAATCGTTCAAACCTCTGCGCTAGATTTGAGCATGCTCCTGATCGGTCGGTTTGTCGGAGGGATAGGAATCGGGATCTTATCTATGGCATGTCCTATGTAAGTCCGACAAGTCGCGCTTCTTTCTGCATATCTCATCAGAGAGCTAACCGGACAGTCATACAGGTATATGGGCGAAATCAGCCCCAACAACGTGAACTACTTTCCTCCAGAAACTCCCTTCAAATTCTTGATTCTTGATTCCCGGCCTTATCTCTGCCTTTATACCAAATGAAAAAAAAAAAACAGATTAGAGGTGCTTTGCTCTGTTTAGAGGAATTCAACATTGTCCTGGGTATCGTTGTGGCCTTTTGGATCACGTGAGCTAGCTCTTTTGGCAGACTTCCAGCCTCGACTCATATCTCACGAATCAGCTGGATTTCTGATAAGAATTGTTTCTTTTTTTTGATATGTTGTAACGCTACCTCAGGTACATGACCCGATTGATCGAAAGCGAAGTTTCTTGGAGATTACCATTCGGGATCCAATTGTACGTCTGTTTCCTTGTAACTTATCTTGAGCCAGGAGGCATTGATACTTAAGAGCTATTCCCACTCAAAGACTACCAGCGATCATCATTTTATTGGGTCTTTCACTTCTACCATCGTCTCCCTCGTGGCTTGCAAGCCATCGCCGATACGATGAATGTCTCAGGACGCTTTCGACACTGAGACAGTTGCCGATAGACGATGAATCTGTCAGACAGGAGTGGATCGATATCCGGGTCGAGGCGGAATTTCAACGAGAGCTTCATTTGGCTCGGTTTGGCGAACTTCCAGAACAAGCTTGGTCTCAATTCAAAATCGAATTCCGGAAGTGGGGAGACACATTCTCCAAGGGCTGTCGTCGTAGGACCCTTGTTGGAGTTGGCGTGCGTCTTTTGTCATCATTATAATAATACCTTATTATATATATTGAAAGTTCTTCTGATATATTTATGCGTTATGTAGCTTTCTTTCTTCCAACAATTTGTAAGGGCCCGTTTTAACTCAACCAACCTGATAATCTGGTATGAGGATTGATGATTCTGACTTGGAATTATTTGGTTTAACTTGGTATTATGTCTCAGGTTGGAATAAACGTATGTATCATCGAGTTTATAGATGATTTCTTTTGCCGAGCGGACTGCTTCTACACAACAACTCTTTGCTAAGCAGACCTTCGTTTGATTTAGGCTCTGATTTACTGTATGCTCCTTATCTTGTTTAAATGTATTGAAATGCGTGCCTAATTATGGGTAACTTCAGCTTAAGCTCGACCGGGCTGATACTTTTTTTTTGGTTCCTTGCTATACACCAGACTCCCCAACTCTTTTCGAAACACTCGGATTAGACGAAGAGCTGAGGCTAAAGATGAGTGGGATCATGAACATGTGTCAATTAGTGGGTGTGACAATCTCGTTTCTGTTCATCGACAAGGTCGGAAGACGGCCGTTGTTATTGCTAGGAAGCTTGATGATGACTATCTGTCATCGTGAGTCGGCTAAGAGGACTTTTCTCCGCAATTTCTTCTCGCAATCAACCGTCTAATTATCTTGCGTTTTTACAATCACCTGTTTGCTTTGCCCCCTTGTCTCTTTCAAATCTCTCCCTCAGTCAGTGTGGCCATCTTGATTCGACAGTACAGTGCTGATTGGGCTCAACACACATCAGCTGGATGGGCGGGTGTTGGCTTTCTGCTTCGTAAGCAGTTAGGAGTCTACCATTCTAGTCTAACAGTCATGCTGACCCTTTGCGTCGTGTGTATCATTTACACTGCCAGTTTACATGGTGGTCTTTGGAGTCAGCTGGTAAGTCTCTTTTCTTTTGGCTCGATTGGCTGAGATTTTGATCGTGATCTCATTGTCCTATTTTCCCAGGGGGCCTATCCCATGGGCAATGCCTTCGGAAATTTTCCCCTCTTCTCTTCGTGCTAAAGGCGTCGCCGTTAGCACTATGTCAAATTGGATCAGTTCAGTACTTGATGAATTTTACATCCTCTTCATATATAAATTTGAGGATAAAGAACTTATCCATTTGCCTCTCCTTCTCCTCATCAGATAACTTTATCATTGGCCTTATCACACCTCCAGTTGAGTTCAGAGGCTTTTTTCCCTTGAAGTTTTGCACGAAAAAAGCAAATTAGACTTATGTATTCTGATTCGCACATTTATGATCTTTTGGGATCAGCTAATTGAAAAGACGTGAGCTTTCACATTTGCTTTTAGGGAGGATCAGATGCCCTTAACGATTTGATGTTCATCTTTTATAATTCAAGTAATGAAGGCGCCTTCATCTTTTTCGCAATCAATTCATTATTGTCATGGGTCTTCGTTTGGCTAGTTGTGCCGGAAACCGCCTATCGATCTTTGGAAGTCAGTCTCCATCTTGATCATATACAATTTTCTTCTAATTCCAAAATCCTTCCTTTTTTGAATATTTTGGCTTGCTCTTTTTGTTTTGTTTTGTAGGAAATGGATCAAGTGTTTGGTGACCAATTAGCAGTCGAAGACCAACTCAAAAAATCTCAAATCTTCCAGAAAATCACCGCAGAGGAACTTTAATTTTGTTTTGCGTCCTTTTAGACTCACCATCTTCCCTCTTGCATTTTTTTCTTCACTCAACAATCTTAGCAGCACTGGTCTCTGATTTCTCCGTCCATTCTGCTTCACTTTTTTATCATTATTATTAATGTACATTGGATGTGTCTATACATTACCTTGTTGTTGCATTCAATACGTACATAAGAGATATCTTTGGTCGCTGAACCTGGCTCCTCGTGCAAATTCGTTCATGAGGGGAAACATGCCGTGTTGGCTGTGAACCAAGAAAGCTGGGAAATCGAAATCAATATTTTATTCAAAAGCAATCTTCCATAATAAAGAATGTTTATTTTGGCGGGGAGGATTAAAGTGGGGAATTCTTGACTACATATGACAAAGGTGGAACGCTGGACCGGGGCGACCGAGGTCGCACCATTCTGGTAAATTTGAGCGACAACATCGTGTGCCGAGTTGCAAGCGCTGGCGACAACGGCACGTTTGCTGGGCCACTGTTGGTAGGTCACTGAAGCATGTCATACCAATTAGCGGGGTCGGAGTCTTATCGCTCTCGCCGAGGAGCCGGTCATCCGTCCAGCCGCCCACTCTCCGGGTCGTACTTCGACCCCGGCAACAGTGTGTCAGTGTGGCTTGAATTCAGCTCGACTGTCTCGGCATAACGCTCAGACCAGTGGGTCAGTTTATCCGGGGGTGTATAGACCGGCCAAGTCGGAGGATAAGGCAAGTCGTCCGCCCATACCTATTGATTAAGATTCGACCAAGACACCATCCATTAATTAATCAGTTTTTTACCACTCCGGCCGAAAACCCTCACCGGGGATCATGCAGGAAGAGCCGATGATACCGCGACCTCCAACAGTCATTGCTGGCTTTCCTTCATGGCCAAGGTATTCATTCCATCCACCTTCGCATAGATTTAGTTCAAAATTCACAATTCTTCTTTGTATTGTAAGATTGATATATTAAGGATTGGATTGATAGTGAATAAAAAAGATTTTTTCAACGACCCATACGCCATCTCATGCTCGTCATCATCACAGCAACAGTCAATAAGTTCTGGTGGGGCGCGCCAACCACAGCATGAAAGGGCTGCCGAGACATCCTTTGATCAGGAAGAGAGTCCAAAGGCCGTTCTCTTTCTTTTGACAACTTCGCTTGATGCTTTTAGCTCGAATCTCACGTCAACGGTCAGTGTCCACTCATAGTGAGGTACAGTCTTGGATGCAGCCTTCCGAGCCGGCTTTTCTGGCAGTGTTAACTACGGCACTGTTCTGCCCAATTGCAATCACACCCAGTATCCATGCAGGACGCTGTTCCTCACTCCAAACTCAGGAGGGGTCGGATTGGGGTAAGGCAAGGCAGCAGCTGGGGCCAGACGTGGGATGCAGAGTACGAGTGAAACCAAGCGTCCATCTCTCTCGGGCCCTCTCGCATGCCTTTTTTTGGTAAGAGTGTAAAATAGCAATTTTCTCTTTTAGGTGCGTTGTGCACACAAATGCATTTCTCAAGTGATACAGATCGAATGAGTCTAGCGGTGGTTTGTGGAGGAGAAAGGAGTGGGGCAGAATTCTTCCTAATTAGAGACCGTAGAGGGAGTGACCTGTGGTGTTTCATTCATGAAGTTTTGAGCTCCTGTGTCAAAAGACGTCGGGTACAACTTGGGTTATCTTCAAACTTTACTAAGCTCCGATGGTGAAGGTACTGACTTGCAGCGGGGCAGCTATCGGGTATAGACCTGTATAGATTCTTCATGAGCTCCTTTGGCCTCATATGTGTAGCACTTGGTTTAAACGAAAGCTATCAAACGTAAATATCATGTTTCGTTACAGCCTCAGCAGCTGGCACACATGATGCCGCCTGATCTCAAGTAAGAGTGACGTTTCCAAAGGATATATAGACTTCGGCGAGACTCGCCTTATGCGCTGGTTGGGCACGGCCCTTGTAGTTACGACACGATTCCAGCTAGGGTTTAGACCCGGTCACCGATTACCCGGCAGTACTCGACCGGTACCGGGTCGGTTCGAGTCCCGGTTAGACTCGACAGACATCCGGTAACCGATCGGTTCCCTGTGTACAGCTTGTATTGTAGAGCCTATGCGACCGGCCGCCGGCGAAGCTCCCAACTCCAAAGCCGACCAACTTTCGAATGCCATTGACAGGATGGCACCTGAACTGGCCGAGGCCCAACATCTGAAAACGAAACGAACGGACGTCTGACCGAGGAGCTCAAAAAACTCAAACTTGCCTAAAAAAAACTCGAACGATCGATCTCTATTCCGGCAGGTTTACGTTTTTTCAATCGGTAATCTTCCCATTTCCATGCCACCGAACTCCCAATCTATCGATGCAGGCAGACGAGTCTCAAGCCAGTCAAGCCACTTGGTCCAAAAAAGGATCAGGGTTGACTGATCGATCACCCAACTCTAACTAAAGCTGGCGACTCGTCTCGGCTCCAAGATCAAAGAGTGTACATAGAAAATAAATTAATCAGACGATATGAAGTTCAAGAAACCTCTTGTAAATAGCTTTTAGTTACCAAAAAAAAGCTGTTGTTGTCCATGTTGCAGTCTCATCAACTTGTTTAAGAGGTTTCTGTTTATTTCATTTGTCCTTTTTTCGGTTTTTAATACTATGGTAAAATTGTAAATACAAGTTTGATATCAAAGTTTCATGATGGGCAAAGCGAACAAAGCGATTGTATTTGTCCTTTTTTGGTTTTTAATACTATGGTAAAATTGTAGATACAAGTTTGATATTGAAGTTTCATGATGGACGAAGCGATTGTCTCATCGGAGACTCTCACCATTTCAAATTTAAAAAAGCAGGGTTACATTAGTTCATGATTCATTGAACTTGATCTTGCGGAATCAGAGAAGGAATAAGAGCTGCGATCGATGATTGATCATTGAGATGATGATGTTGTAAACTGAGAAGATAGAAAAAAAATTCAGCAGGTTGATGTCTTGATGTAATCGACATCGATGACCTCTTGATCAACCCAGTCCTTCAGGCAAATGAGTGCTTCAAGGTTTTCAAGGCAAATGCGGTTTCGTGTGTAATCTTGGATGTGGCGGCCGGCAGAGAAAGCCCTCTCCGAAGGAGAACTTGACGCAGGTACTGCAAGAAATTTTCGGGCCATGTTTGCGAGGGATGGGAGCTGTTCGGATTTTGCCTTCCAATAGAGAAGTGGATCGCAAGATTCGTCTTCAGTTTCAGAGGAAAAGTAGTCCTTAATTTCATCCTGGAGAGACGTTGTTTTTCTCCTTTTTTTAGTGAATATGCTAGATCTCAATGTATTTCGGGGGGTGGTTGAATTGGGTTCGTTGTTTGTCTGATCTTCATTGTAGCGTTCGCTTGTGTATTTCTGAGCTTCAATCTTGAAGTTCTCCAGAATTGTTTCCTTGTTCATGTTCAAAGTGTCAAGAACACCTGGCCGATCAAGCAGGCTTTCTTTGATTCGAGGATCGAGCAAGGTTGCACATATGTAGACTGGTTTCGTGATGGCGGCATTGAAATAGCCTTTCAGTTTATTGTGCATTTCAATGGCCGACGGAATCAGATCCTGGGCATCATACCTCATTGTTGTCTGTTCCGTCACAAAGATAAATGTCAGACCAGTTATGATGTAGTTTGCAAATGGATTTCAAGGAAAGCTCACTAGACGAAGCTCTTTCATCATCATGATGTATACCGGTGCAGCAAGCGATAAAGTGACCGTGTTTTCTGGTGAGATCGTATTGGTTGCGTCATGGAGAAGCCCCATAAAACTACACAGCTGGTTCAGTTTGAGCCATTCGTGCGGTTGGAGGTTGTACTGGTCAGATAAGTGATGTGCCTCGCAAAAGGTGGAAATGCAAGCTTGAAGTTCGGATGCTCGCTTTAGCATCAAGAAGGTGGAATTCCACCGAGTCGCAACATCTTGAACCATATGAATGTCTTCACCAAACGCGCGAATTGTGACCTTTGCAAATAATGCAGCTTTCTGAGGGGAGTGTTTTAAGAATGAAGCGAACCCTTTGATTCGAGAAATAATAGTCTTAACTTCCACCGGAGCAGGCTGATCGTTTAAAATGCTCATTAGACCATCAGGCAAAGCTGTTGAAGGTGCTGATGATTGAGAGAATTCTTTGATCCCAGCTTGAGCAGCAAGGTTAATTACGTGAGCCATACAACCCAGGAGACAATTTTCATTATCGAAGGGAATCAGATTCGCCAGATGAGCTCCCATGGTTCGATTGTTTGAAGCATTGTCGGAGGTGATGCAGAAAATTTTATTGCAAATGTCAAAATCTTCAAGCACCTCTAGCAAGTGATTTGCGAGCGACACTCCCGAGTGATTCCCGTCCACAAGTCGTGCAGCAAGGATAATGGAATTGAGAGAGAAATCCTCATCAATCCAATGCGCTGTAACTCCGAGTACAGACTGATTGCTTGGCGAAGTCCAAGTGTCACAAGTCAGACTGATTTCCGATTTGAGTGCACGAAGCTGATCACAGAGCACTTGCTTCCCCTGTCGAAAGGTTTTTCGAATACAAGCGGATAATGTGTCTTTGCCACAAATAAACTCATCGATGGCCGGGTTGCAGAGTCGAAGCAGTTGATGAAAATGCGGATCCTCGACCGTATAGAAAGGAATGTTACAGCCAACAAAAAAGCGGGCCAGAGACGAGGTCAAGGAGCTGCGGTCAAGCTTTTTGAAGTTACATCCTTTTTCTAAGAATTTGGTGATTGCACCAGTGCTCTGTTTGTTCTCGTATATGTGATGGATTCGATCCAAGTGTTTTGACATGCTTGTTGTTGATTTGCTTGAGTCTACTGTTAGTTGCTTGAGACACAATTCTTCACCTTCAGGAGACTTCCTTGCCTGGCAGATGTTGTAAGGGACCCCGCTGATAACAGTTGTCTGGAAGTATTGCCAGACCCAGCTCTTTTTGCTTGTTGTGTCTAGAATGTTGTGTGGAGTTGGTATTTCGGGTGGCACGGGTGTCAATGTTTCGTTGTCCAAGTTAGAAATGCTGGTGGTGCGGGTAACGGTATCAAGATTACTAGGGGTACAATCTGATTCCATCTTGCAAAAGTGGACAGTCAGATTGAGGCCGGGGTGATGCTGATGCGGTTCATGTGATGTTGGGTCGCTGCCGAGTTGCTAACTCGGAACTTGGCAAGTTGGCAATGGTAGTCACACTGTCACTGTTCAGTGTTCACAGTCTCGACTCTCAGTCTCATACTTGAATCTGATTCTGAACATCAACAGAGTAACAGTCCACCGTCTGCCTTGTGCAAGTGTTTCAGTGTGAAACCTTGTTTTTGAAAGATCCGATGGAACCGATTTCGAGTTCGGGTATGCCGAGTTCAGACACGGTTCCACCAATACTCGACCCGGGAGCCCGGATCTAATCCCTGCCATTTACGCTGGGACAGGACCATGTGCCAGTGAGGGCACCTAGCGTTTGTCTGGCCGGGGCGACTTGAATTTTGGTTAGGCAGGGTCGTGTAAATCCAGAGATGAAAAGGTAAGAAGTTCGGGCAAGAAGTGAAGATCAGCCTATCTGTCCATAATATCCTTCATCATATGACGATTCGAAGGTCTACCTACAAGTATATTTCATGGGGGAGACAGAGATGTCTTTCTTCACACAGTATGGGTACGTCGAACATTCGAAGAGGCGGCCAGTGTTGGCGGCGCAAGCAACAATTAGTAACATGAAGACTACCAAGGGACCTTTGGAGATGCCTAGAAACTGCATTTTCGTAAGTTTTGATGGGGTGGGTGACTTTTAGTTAGATTGGAGAAAAGGCCGTAGTGGAAGGATGGACCAGGCGGGAAGGGTTATAAGTTATATAGAAAATTGTCTGGGTGAATATATGTACATAGAGGGCATTCTCTGAGACTGGGTTCTGGTACAGAGACAGAGTCGACAGAGCTCACGTGGTCTGTACAGCACAGCCTCAGGCAGGCGAATCCTGAACTGTTCTGAGTCCGTAATGAGATTCTGAACTATTCTGAAGCAGAGCCGACAAGTGTACAGCGACCCTGGGCAGACAAGTACACAACCCCTCATAACCCCAGATCTGCCTTTATTTTTGATGAGAAACAAAAAATTTCATCTTTGAACGCTCGGCAGGAGAGCATCTCTGGAGGGATCAGAGTCATGAGGACAGGGAAAGATGGGCAACATGCACATCTTCCTCCTCATTATTTTCATTTAATTGGGAGCCAGGCTCTCTAGGGAGTGGGAGATTATGTAGTGCAAAAAGCCACCTTTTTTACATTACCGTATTTCTCTCCTGTGCCAGCGGAGGAACCTTCCATTCAGGCCTGTCTATGATACAGAGACCCTTGCGGGCTGCTCTTCGGGCTCTCACTCGCGACGCGAGTCCCTGTGTTACACGTGATCCCAGTGGTTCAGACATCACGCTATCTGAGGCAGATACAGTGCACCCGGAGCTGGCCTATTCTTTCCCAAGCGCCGAACGAGAATACAAATCCTTTTCCGTGCACTGGCGAATTAGTTGAGTTCTGAAAGCTCATAGCTGTTCAACTCTCTGCGGTATGTCTATCCTGAGAGCTACCAAGCTCTGTGATACCCCATGAGTGGTGCTGTTGACCGTAGTGACTGGACCAATCAGAGCAGGGAGGGTAGAGCGAGACTAGCGTAGGATACTACTCTTCTCTCGATCTCCGAATACAAAGCTGACGGCCGCAGTCGCCTAGACAAGAGGTTCACCGCACGTCCCTCAAGATTTTCATCATCTTCACCTATGCAACTACTAAGGGCATCATCATAGCGGGTTGGGGAATCAAATGTGACCAGGAAATGAGCCCATGTGATCAGCTCTGATCGATCTTTGGCTGAATCAAATACCCCTCCTGCCCCAAAAAACATGCTATCACCCCGTCGTAATGGGGGTTTGCCCTGCCTCCCGAGGTTCGTACCTCTCATCCCGGGGCAAACCCTTGGTTGTATCCTTATCCGAAATACTTTTCTTTCCCCATTTGACTATTTTGTTGGTTATTAATCGGCTCACGTCCTATCTTAAAACTAGCGTCTGGATCAAGCACCTGTAGCACTAATTATGTCTTACTCTCAATCCAGGTGTCATCGAACGGTTGGGTGCGCCTGTTTGATACATAGAGTTAATCGAGTGTAAGGAAAGTAAGTGAGGTTGGCGACTCTATCAGCATAGGGAAAGAGATGTACATAGATCATGAATGCGTGGCCTTCATCATTTGCAGACAAGCAAAAGGTTGAGAACAAATCTTTAAGTATTTGCAGATAGCTATTGTCATTGATGCAAAGAAGACTGATACAAGGGATGACATGAAATTCTCCAAAATAATTGACATCAAGCTATGAGTGACCAGTACTCTTGCGTTCATTCCGACGTGATGTCGTTATCATTTTTCAAGCTTTCTGTGCGATGTTGTGCAATCAGTTAGGGGAAGCTTCGCGACATTTAAATCTGTTCTTGTAGTCGTTATCCGAGACTGTTAATTCTGTACCGAACCGCCTGGGTTTCTAGATAATTGAGTGGGTGATTATTGGGGGTCAGGGAGCGCTCGTCCTCAGTGAAGCTAGCTTATAGCCTTCAATGGAGTGATAATGGACAATGACGACGTACAAGTAACCCCACAGGATTATCGCAGCACACGTCTATTATGGATTTCGAAGGAAGTTGTGAGACGCTGCAGGTCGACCTGCCCTCACGTGTCACTTGGCTGGCCGGGCCAACTGGAGAATTTCGATAAGGAAGGATCGTGCAGGTCCAGAGATACATAGGAGGGTATATTTTTGTTTTGGTAGACAGGTTCAATTAGCCCATCGGTTCACCTTATTATCCGTATCAAGATTTGAGAGTAAACTTACACTTATATTTCATTGGCTGAGTTGAGTAGTCTTTGTATGCGCAATACTTATACTCCCCATGCCCACAGAGAAAATAGCGAGGATTGCTCGCGGCGCAAGGGACGGTAAGGTGCAGGAGGACCACCAAGAGGACTTTGAAGTAGTCTGAAAATTGCATTTGATATAGAGTTGTGATGTGGTTGATGGGACTTGAATGGAAGGCTGAGGTTCCCGTTGGCAAGAGGTGTGGAAATATAAGCAAATGGGATCAGTTGTGCAGTGTTGCACCGTACATATTGAGAAACACAAGTATGGAAGCCATCATAGTATAGATGCAGATGGCTAAGCTTGCAACAACTCTTCCTTGCTCCTGAAAAACAATTACTGTACAGCCGTAATGTATTACTGTACAGAGCCGTATGTACATATACATATCACATGAGGAGGGCATGTATTGTAGGTCGTAGCCGGGGTCGCTTGGCGATGGTCCGGCCAGGGCAGCACTGCAGCCCCTCGGGTCCAGTCGCCAACGCTGGTGCATCAGTCCGGGTGTGGATCCAATGCCGATGGGTTTCTCACCACGTCCGGCAATGGATTGATCCGACCGGGTGAGCTGCGGAAGAAGAAAACAGATCTAGTTCGTGTCCTCTGACTGGTCGGTACATAATGGTTGATGATTGGTTGAGTGACTGCACGGACGGAGTCCAAATTAGTTGCTTCTCCTACAGCCTTTTGCGAGTACATACATATCTTAAGTGGGTATGAGAGGAAAGGTGAGAAGGAAATCATCCATCCGTTCTGCATCCTTTCGGACCAATGCCAAAGTTTTGTCAGAATGCTAGCATGTCAGTCAATATCCAATATTAACGATATGAAAAAGTAACAAAAGTCAAACACCTGAAAGCAATTGCAGTATTATGAGTATGATGATAACCTTATAATCATACAATGATAATATTTTATACATAAGGAAAGAGAGTCAGCTGACTGATAACCGGTGAAGAAATCTAGATCATAAGACACAAGGTTCATGAAGTAGTTGATGGTGAGGAACTGATGGAAATGGGAATGAAGTGACTTAACCCATTAAATACATCTAACAATCGATGATCATTTTCATCAGGAGTGATATAAACGTCTTTGATGGCATCAATTGTTCAGGGCTTCTTGACAAGATTCCCGTGAAGTAGATCTAGTGAAAGGGATGAAGAATACTCAGTTTGATGAGATTTTGTAGTGTCTCTCGATATCTCCCTAAAATGATTTTACGAGGAATCAAGTCAGGATTCGTATTCCAAGAAACAGAAGTCGGGTTTCCTACTTCTATGATTGAAAGTTTTTGCAAAGAATTTTTGACAAAGGCCTCCCTCATCACGATTGTTATCAATACTCCTGGAGGGGCTCCACCTTTTCATTAGCGATGAATGGTTGCAATGATTCATTACAAGAACTCGAAAGAACTGTTTAGGTTTCCATTCTTTTGCTCACAGAGGATGATGTGGGCCATGATCAAGAATCTCAGATAGCGGCACACGATGTCTCAAAATGATGGTTGAGTGTGGATGGATCGTGGAAGGATGAGGAACTGGTTCCCTCCCTCCACGGTCACTGACTCGATCATGCAACTCCACAGAATCTCACTGAGCGACGAGTGGAAGTGCAGGTGGCATATCACCAAGCAGACTTAATCGGGGGGAAAGAGAAAGAGGCAGATGGCCAAGCTGATTGATTCCACAGAGGGTTAGTGTTCTTATTTCTTTGAGCATGGGTTCAATAGTATCTATCCTATCAGAAAAAAAAGCCTTATTTCTGTCTCTCTTGCTATGTTCTGGATTCCAATTGACTCATGTCCCGTCACAAGACTAGCGTCTAGGTCTCGGATTTGTATCAAGCACTTTGGTGCAATCTGTTAGCTTAAACGAAGCGGTGAGTTTGAAGACTTCATCACTCTAGAATCTGAGGACGGAAATGATAATCATCCATCGTTGGTCTTGATTTTCCGGGCGCGAAAAATGTTGTGAACATATAAATATATATAGTATTTATTATATATGTATCAAGGAAATTTGATGAAATCCCTACTGATTCTCTAGTAATTAGACACAACCATGTCACACAGGGAAAAAAAAAGGGCAACATGGTAATTTTCAAGATAATCAATTTTCAAGCGTCCTCAGGTTGATTCGCGGAAGCATTCGATGGAATCTTGGGTAATCAGATAGAACCATGTCACACAGGGGAAAAAGAAAAGATAGCATGATAATTTTCAAGAATATACTTGATTTGTTCACGTCCCAAGTTCAGGCACCCGCGAGATTGTGGTTGGGATATTTCCGATGAGTGATGTGGTGATAATTTCCGATGATAATTGTGAGGGTGGTTACGAAATCAGTTAAATGGTATAAGGAACTTCATGACATCCATTTTTGACATAATCATTGCGCCAGACTATTAATGGATCATCGGCCCTCCGGGAAGCCTAGACAATTCAGATTGGGTGAGTATTTAATTTATTTGATGGTCAGGAAGCGCTGCTGCTCGGCGGAACTGGCTAGCTTTCAGCCAAGGGGAGGATTCGAAGATCTCGACTTACGACGTCCCCCACAGCAAAATCGCAGCACGTGCCTTTTGGAGTTCCGACGGGAAGTCGCGAGTACTGGCATGTCATGAATTTACTAGTATGAGGATTCGATGAGTAGGTCGCCGGGCCGACTGGACAATCACGGCAAGGGAGAATTGGGCAGATCCAGAGATGAGAGGGTTTTGAGGTTTGAGTCAGCCCATCAGGTCATCCTATTCTTGATATCAGAGTTCGATAAATAGTAAACATACAGGCATAGTTTATTGGTTGGGTTCCTCTGTCCTCGAATACACAATATCCATTCGTACATGCGAAGAGCCCATTTTGCCCTGTAGCGCAAGCGATTACTATGAGGAGCGTGAAGATCACTGAGAGCATGTTGGATAAATTTGAAAACTGCATTTGGTAGGAGCTTATGATCGGGTTGATGGTGCTGGTGCAGCGGCGCTCGTGCAGATCAGGAGGTCTAGAGGGTAGACACTCGCGACGATGTGACTAAGAAGATAGGAACTCTGGATTTCTAGAGAAAAAGACTGAAAGAGAACTGGGGAAAAATCCCCTACAACCAGAGGGCCGATTTATATTGGCCCGAATGCAGGCTAACTATGGACTAAACAGAAAAGGAGAAACAACAATAGAAGCCTTATGGCTAAAGATTGTAGTGAAACTGAACAGTCGGCTACTATAAGTCTGGGCCGAACCCGGTCTCGGAAGGAGGAGCAGGCAAGCCTCTTGCATCATGCTATGTAGAGCATGCCATAGCTCCTCATGGTCGTGTCTATGGTACAGGGGCAGCGTACTGCCCAACTACCTGTAGCCCGGCTACACTGGAACTAGCTTAACACCATCCCCTCGTTTCAGGGGCCGGAGGACCGGCACGGCGAGCCTCTGAAAGACAGGCTTGCCATTGAAGTCCGATTCTTGGTATGGGAGATTCGGTTGACCAGGGTATTTCCTGGGTTTTTTGGATGTAATTGCCCATTGCGCAGGGACCTGATTTCCCCTGAAGATAAGACCAAGAGACACTAACAGGCCAGCATCCTGCCTAGCCTGTACCACCTCTGCAAGAACTACACAGCGGGTCGAGTTGGGCGCCACTGGATCGTACACAGTCAGGCCCCCGCGACCCCGCTACGAGTTGGACGGAACCGGGGCGATGTTCCCCGCGATGAAACTGTGGCGCACCATACCGCGCCCCTGGGGCTGTCAACCCCGACACGGGGACGCACCAGATGATTGGCATCTGGCTGCCCTGCTGACTGGGGCGCCACCGATTGGTCCCAGGGCTGCCTTCTGAGTTGCGTTATGGCAGGTGGGACAGTCTGAGGTGGCTCCGAGGGCGCCTTGACGGCGGCCTCGGAGGCGGTTACGCTTGGTTAGCGTCGGACCAGCGGGGCATTGAACCGGTGATGTTGAGCGCTGGATCCGCCGGTTTGCCCAGAACCGTGGCAATCGGGCGGATAGGTGTCACCCGAGGCACGTGGGCGGGCGGACTGATTTGGCCGGCCGTCCATTGAATGGCTCTCGGGCATACATTGGACGGAGGGACATGTGTATTATTTCTCACAGGGGCCGGATCGAACGGCTCTGACTGTTCAAAAGTCGGGATGCTAGGGTCTCACAATGCGCCCCCACGAGTGCGGGGCCCGGTAGGGCTTATTGTGGGGGGGGGGGGGGGGAACGGCGAGCGGGCAGTGAAATGGTTCATTGCTTGGCTTAGGCATAACGATGGGGCTATTACATGGCGCTAATAGATCATAATAGATCATAGATACTAGTCTCAGTAAGGAGAAGGTGCCGACTACCGCTTGTCAGGGATAGTCGGGGTTAAGAATGATTTTCTAACTTGCATTCAATGTCGGGTGGGTTGCCGCCAACGTTTCAGGCGGCATTGGTGTCGGCGATGCGGGCATTGACCTAGGCTACGGTGGGAACAGTAATTAGGGTGGGGTCG